TGGTCGCCATTTTGCAGATCAGGGACTCTGGGGATTTTTTAATTTTTTTAATTAACAGGTTCTATGGTCTGAGAAGGTTTGAAAATCCTTAGCATAATTTTTCTTTTTTTTTTTAATTAACAGATTCCACGGTCTGAGAAAAATTGAAAAACCTTATCATACATCAAGTTACGTCCTTCAAATATTCTGGAGTTGCCTTTCACTGTTGAAGATTTTGGAAGCAAAAAATTGCATCTGCAAAAGTTTTTGCAGGCATAAAAAATTGCTAGTTTTTTTTCCCTTCTCCTGCCCTTAAGCAAAGACACTCAGGCAATTGCGCCATGGCTCCCATGTTTATGTACTGTATATATATAAAAGTCTATTCAGTGGAAGCTGCTCAACTCAGCTTTTCGAGAACCAGACTCCAGGTCTCTAGAATCATCTCAAACATGTCTCTCCATCGTTGTAGAAGTGTGAGCTCAGATATGTAGACTTAACATCTGACTCTTGCTTCAACAACATGGTCTTTCAGGGTGGCCCTAGGATTTGATAGGGCAAACACAGAAATTAAATAGCGAGCTCTCAATGGAGACACTCAAGACCACTGGGAAAAGCTTCAAGTTTTTATAGGTGAGGAAAATAAAGAGTTCTTTCTTCCTGCAAGGTATCTGTGGGATCTTATTTAATGGCTAGCTCAAAAAGTTTTCTTCTCGGCTTGATTCAATATCCTTCTCCAGGTCTTTTGGAGGAAAAGAAGAGTCACTTCTCTTAACCCAAACAGATCTGCCCTTGCAGATTTGGAGGGATTGATTCAGTGGCCATGTACTATTCTGTTGTCCCATTCTCTTTTCACATAGCTCTTATCATCCTTCTGCTAAACAGATGCTCCGCTAAACCCAAGAAGCATTAATCACTCCTTCTGCTTTTGGTCTAGTGCTCTTAAGTGACAATGAAGGTTGCATGGACCTTTTTCTGTTGCCATCATGCTACATCACAAATGATTGGAAATGCTCTATAAAATTGTATGATCATGGATAAAGCTAGGGTTTTTCAGGGGGGTATTCTAATTTTTGAAATAAATTATAACACCATGAAGTCCTTGGGGTTCTCTGAGCTTGGTTGTCTTCTTGCAAATGTTTTGTTACCTGGCTAGGTAACATCTTCAGTGCTAGCTGAATTATAACACCCTCAGATTTTTTTTCCTAATATGAACAATTTTGAGCCAAAATGGTACAATAATGAAGGTGATAGATTAGAGAGATCTAGTTTATGTCTACCCTTAGCCGCAAAATGTCACTAGGTGACTTTGAGCTGGTCACTCTCTCTCAACCTAACATATCTCACACGGGTGTCAGCATGGACAAAAATGAGAAGGGTATACCATCTTGCTACTCCTAAAGGAAAGGTATGATAGAAATCTAATAGACAAATCAAGAAACACATTGTACATTTTTAGCTGCAAAATTATAGATTTCCATATTTGGAAAAGGGCAAATTTCAAAGAATAATGCTGTTTTGATACATGCACAGGATCCCAAATTAGCTGCCTTCAGATTAAAACAGAAACCAATCCAATTTCTTATCTCTTCCAATTCAGAACAGCTTGCAGCCTGATCAGAAATCAATATTTATAGCCATGGCTTGAAACCGGCCTTCTATGCGTGTTCCAATTTTAAGTCAACCGTCAATCTTCACTAAAAGTCAGAATGCAAAACTCATTTTTATATTGAAATGTGCAAATGTGAATATTTTGTGCCAAAACATCCAGAATTATATATTGTATAATGCATATCGAATACATATTTGTTATAATTAAATAAGATTAATTTAAAAATAAGAGAGGACGGATTAGTGAAGAAAAGGGAAGCCAGAATTGGAGTGCTCCATGCAGTCCTATCAAAATGCATAATTAAATGTGTAGTTGTACAAATGTTCAAGCAGAAAAAAAAAAGATGCTATAGAACTACCAATACAAATTATGCAAGCATGATCTGGATCAGAAAGAGAAGGTTCATGCTTCCTGAATGCAATAGGACCACTTACTTGGAGTTTTCCAAGATAGGCTCTTCTAAATGCTTCTAATCCAGTAGGAGACAAGTTGTCCGTCTGTATTTTATTTCAGTTACTGGAGGGTTGCTGTTCCTCACGCAGCTTTATAAATGTGAGAAAAGTTCTACCTTAACCGGAAATGCACTTTTGTTTTTTCCCTGCTCACCTATGTCACACTAGGTATTACAACTTCAGCATATGTCATGAGTAGCAAAAGATAGGAAACCCTTGGACTCACAGATTTCATGAGGCATGACATCTGCAAATATAGCAAAGTAATCCATATAGCTGTTGACTGTCTTCCAACTCAACCGGTAATATTTTACCCTGTCTTTCAGGGTGAAGTTCCAGATGGTATGCCATCTTGAATATTCCATGGAGAAAGGGTGAGGCCCACCAAGAGGGAAAGGAAATGACGAGGAGATGTGACTTGAAAAGAATATGGAAGATGCAAATGGTGCAGGCTATTTTATTTAGCTATCAGATTGATATTCTCTGTTTTGTGTGGGAATTCAAGATGGTATAAGCACCACTCCCAGCCACACAGCAAGGCAGATTGGGCTGAGGGAATGATTGGCCCATAGTCCTCTAGAGTTCTTCTGTAGCTGAGGGAGGACTAGAATCAGCATCTTCCCTACTACACCAACCTGGTTCTTGGGCTGAGAGGGAGGGACTAGAACCTGGGTCTCCCCTATGCTGATCCAACATATTAACCACTAACCACATTGTCTTTCCAATGGAATTAGACTCCCTCTCTACACATACATTTAAATAGAGATATAATGTATCACTAATTCCACAATACCTGTGAGGTAGGTTAGGCTGAGAGAGACTGACTGGTCCAAGGTCTCTTATTAGAGTTGTGCTCCTGAGTGTATGCAGAATGCTGAAAGAACACCAAGTCATGAAGTGGTGGCAGATTGAATTCAATTTTTTTCTTCTTTTTTCTAATACACATAAACAACAATAAATAACAATATAGTGGAGACCTTAGTATTAAGTATTAAGCTTCAGATAGAAACTATTATATTACAAAAATTTAATGCATTTTGCAGTTGTTTATCAAGGCTACATTCAGGTCTAGACGTAAAATTTAAGCAACCTTATGTTATCAACATTAACATTTTAGAAATCATAGTTAGTATTGACATCAACTTTTTTCTTTGTCTGTAACGGTATAAGTTATCTAAATCATCAGAGGGTTAATCATCTGTAGTCAACACTGTATAAATACCACTGTACCTAAGTAATATAAGGTACTACTTGTGTTTCCTAATAATACAATAAAACAGTATTTAAAAAAATTAAAAATGCTATCAATATAGTGGTCTTAGATGCAAAAGATTTAGCTATTAGTGAGTGTTAGCATTCATCATACTTGAGATAAGAGGTAGATTTACAGGTAGTCCTCGCTTACCGACTGCCTTGTTTAGCAACCATTCAAAGTTACAACAGTTAAAAAAACAGCTTTGTGACTAATCCTCGCATTTATAACCGTCGCAGTGTCCCACAGTCACATGATCCCCGTTTGTGTGCTTCACAACCGGCTTGCAGCAAGCAGAGTTAATGGAGTCATGGTCATGTGAAGTTTCACTTAATGACTGCAGTGATTTGTTTAATAATGGAAGTGGAAATGATGTCATAAGTCATGTGATTTTTTTTTTTTGCTTAGCGATGGAGTTGCTGGTCCCAGTTGTGGTTGGTAAGTGAGGACTAGCTGTATTAAGAACTATGTAGGAAAGGAAAGCCTTGCTTTTATCAAAATGGGATCCTGAAGACAGAAAAGAAAGAGGAGAAAAGGAAGTTCTGTAGTCTCTTAAACACAGATACTCATTTCTGCCAATAGGCCAGGTGAAAATTATATGGAAATCCTTTCTCTCATCCACCTGTTGACTTTTGCTCTAGTGGTCCAAAAGGAAGATGCAATCTTCAACAGAAGTAGATATTATTTATACACCCGTAGTGGGAGTACATTTCATTCTCTGCTCCTGCAGCATCCTTTTGGAATGCAAAAGAAGAATAAACCCTTGAGGGCAAGTTTTGGATTCCTTTTAATAGTGTCCTTAATCACAAGACTCAACTGTTCGTTATCAGTTTTTGCTGTGGAGCAGCAGGACGGGAAAACTTTCAAGGGAGATAATATGAATGTGGCCTTCAGGTTCTATAAATAACATTGTATTCTCTGGAAGATATTGTTCTGCAAAAACTAGCTAAAGATATATTGTGTGCCATTTAGAGTTAAAAATTAAGCTGGAAGTCAAAGTCCCATCGCTGGGAAGAGAAAACAGATAGGGGAAAAGAAAAGAAAAAATTTAGGGCAGATTTTTTTTGCATCCATTTCCGCTAGCTTCAAAATATCTCAAAATGGCCTCTATCCATCATAGAAAGGAAGGAAGGAAGGAAGGGGGTTTTCAATCCCTCTACACACACACACACACACACACACACACATTGATTTTACACAACTTGAGGCTGACCTTTGCTAGGACATTTGAGGTTTGAACTAAAGGAAGTGATGGTGCCACCCTTATTCTGCCAACAGAAACAGACTGGATCATCGCCTGCTGCTGCTGCTGCTGCTGGAACAACATATTCCAGCTTCTTTAAAGGCAACAGACCAACATAGGGGGTGCTGGGTGGATTGCTTGGTAGACACATATTTATCTACTTTCTAATACAAGCCAGAAGCCAAGTCCTTTCTGTTCTTGCTGCCTTCTCATCACCTGCCATGTGTGTACACAGGATATGATCAACACAATCAAGATGGTGGTCATGAAGGAGTAATCCAAACCCTACCTGTTTAAACATCAGGCAAAACTTTGCCATAAAGGGAAGAAACACACACTTCCTTTCAGAAGTTTCTTCACAGTTTGAAGAACTTTTTGGAACATCTCCAGAGCTGTGATGTCTAATGATATCAAGCATGAGACTCCAGATTAATTCATAGTTTAAAATTCCAAGAAATAACAAATTTAAAAAGTCACCTTGACTTTAAAAATTCGATTTCCTCTGTCTGCAGAAGGCAGTATTTTTAGCTGTTTTATTGCCTTTATTGTTCATAGAGCCCCACCCTGAAATACCGAAAATCACATGTTCCTTTAATTGCACTGTGTTTATGGCTTACTTGACTCCTCTTTGATCATTGCAATATTGCAAAACACAGCAACATGCCTGGCTTTCTTGCTTAAATTGTAAGCTGAACAGCTATAAATCCACTTTATGGTCAGTTTGTTGCTTTCTACTGTAAAAACTCTCAGCTCCAACCTGAACCAGTACAACCTTCCAAAGTTATCTTGTGTCTGCTACCTTCTATTCTTCTAACACTTGGATTAAGGGAAGCAGAGAAAGTGTGTTGAAATACATAGACGTGTGCTGGTTAATGGCTAAAATAAAACTTGATTTGATCTGAAATAGTTTGGGAAGGAAGGGTGTTATCCATGAAAGTAGACCTGGGGGATTCTCACACCAGGAAGAAGTGAAGGTGATGGTGAACGGCAGCAGGAAACATGTAAGAAACCAAGATAGTTCTTCTTGATCCTTTTCAGGCTCATGTATTCTGGAAAATAGTAGCACTCTTTCCAGTGCAAGAATAAGTATTTTGGCCCCAAACTCCTTGCCACTTTAGTAGTGACTGTGAGGAAGGCAGAAGACTCTCTTTCTTTGCATGGCCCATGAGGAAACAACTGCCAGGGCAATGTGCTTAAGATGCGCGGTACAATGTCCTTTATCCCACAGAATTCCATATTTGACAGACATACTAGTAAAGTCACCATTCTTGGGACTTCCTGCATAGCAATTATTTCATGTAAGGGAGAGAGAAAGAAAAGGCCACAGAAAACCAGATCAATGCTCAGGATGAAATGACATTAGATGAGGAAATATAGAAACTCCGCTTTGTAATTTCTCTAGGTTTTCTCCTTCTGTTAAACTCCTACCACCACCCTTGCAGGGGGTTGAGAATGTATTTCCCCTTGTACAGGTCCTGCTATGACTATGATTTTCTGTTACACATTCTCTCCCTCTGAAGCCACCAAGCCACCTTTACTTCCCAATCTGAAGAAAACTCAGTAGGAACCACTGCTTTATGATATCTTCTCCTGGGATGAAAGGGAAATGAGGGAAGCTACAAATTATTGGACAAACGGTTGTACAATGGATTCTATTCATATGCACACATCCTTTGAACTTTATCAATGCTTGAATACCTCCTTCTGTCCATGAGAATTTCTCAGATGTCCTCATCACCTTTGGGTGGGTGGGTGGGTGGGTGGGGGAAACTTCAGAAGCCAATTTTCAGCAGGGCACAAGTTATGATTATGGTGACTGAAGTATAATTCCAAGAACATGTGTCTGAGCAGTATTATTTCCCACATGATTAAAAGCCCATCCACTGAAAAAAGAAATGTTCTTCTTAAAGCAGGGATAAGAAATGTATGGCTTTCCTGTTCCCACAGTATCATCTTACCACTGGCTATGTTGGGTGTGGCTGATGAGATTGGAGTCCAGTAATAAATAGAGGGTTATAAGTCCTTCAGATCTGGTGTACAGCATATAATGTCCAAATAAATATTAACTACCTTCATATGTCTCTAATAAAGAATTCTTAGTTCTTTCACGGACATATTGATGATTTCTTTGATCTCATTCATTAACCTTATCTGAGGACCTCCCCTTTTTCTATTCCCTTAACCTTTGCTCTTTTGTAGCTCATTCTCCACTTGTGTCCCAAGGCCAAAATATGTGAGTTTCTGCTTGCTGGCCCACACTTTATGAGTGTGATAACCCAGGATTGATTGATGGGTTCTTCTGGCAGTCCATGATACATCTCCAGATCCATAATCCAAAAGCATGCAGGTTATCAACAGCAAACAAGGCAAAATCACCAAAGAAGAGATTTAGGTTAGCCTTTTCATGTCTGGCTCAGTGCCATTTCAGCTTCACAACTGAGACCCCTGTCTCACCTTGAAAGGCTGGCAAAACACATCCCAGTTACCTGATTCACACTTTGTGCCAAGGTTGTTTCTTGGTTTTGAAGGTGTGAACTCTCCACTGTGTTTTGTAAACTGTAGATTTATGGCTTGATCCTCCATGAACCAGACCATGGTGACTTTTCCAGAAAAC